TAACTCGTCCTTTACTTGTTGCAGGTGTGACGCCGTCTGACTGTAGTCGTGTGTGGGGAACAGGTGCAGGACTGCTGCAGGTACATTATAAAATATTGTCTTTCAGAACTGCAGTCTTAATTTCTAAAGTGATGATTTCCTTATTACCGCCCCAGTCTGAAAATTCATGACTGATTGGTTACCGAACTGATTTAAAGATGACATTTAATTTAGTGTCTTGCTTTCTTTAAACGTTTTAAGTTTTTATTTGTTGTAATTTCAGGCTCCAGCTGGATCTGCTGCTTCAGGTTTAAGGTAAGAATTTAACATCAAAATGTTAAAAGAGCATGGAGAAGTGATGAGTTTTTTATTACCGCCCCAGTCTGAAAATTCATGACTGATTGGTTACCCCTCTGATCAGAACATAAACCAATGGTTGTTAAAACATTTATTTTTTGGGCTACCATTCTAAAAAGCTTTTCTTCTTTTGCAGGAACCGGTTGTCATGAAGAGAGATCCAAAGCCATCTTGTTTTAACACAATCCTGCAGTTTGCCAAGCTGTGGTACAGCCTTTCCTGGAAATGTTAGTTTGCAGTGCAGTTAAATCCTTACTTCTATTTCCAGATTGCTGGAATTTGATACCAAATAAATAAGTGTACGACAACTCTTAGCTGTGATATACTTTATTAACACCCAGTTGACATGGCGTGGTGTAGAAGTTTGTTCAGTAAAGATCGAAGGACAATTGGCATCCAGATTTTTCCAACCACAAGTGAGCAATATATAGCTTGAAAAATTACAAGGAAATGTTAACTTCTGATTAGTTTGACTAGTGCATTTTTTATTTTTTTGTGAAAATGTAAGTAACCAGTTTTAGTGTCAAATATATTTTGCCATTTTAAAGCGCTGTTGCTTATTTGCATTAGTTGACACCAGATCAGCGGTGGGAAAGGTACTCAGATCTTGTAATTGAGTGTTGTAATGCTCTGCATTTAAAATGTTACTCAAATGAAATACAACAGTATTGGCATCTAAAGGTACCAAAAGTACTCACTATGCAGATTAGCCCATTTCTCAATCAGATCATGTTTTGCTTATAAGTGTTAATTTTACTAGAGGGTAGTTTGTGCATTTTACCCCAGGCTTAACTAAAATATTTGTTATTTCACATTAATCTGGTTAGGTACACTATTTACATATGAATTGTAGTGAGGAAGAAAGTAGCAACATTTACAAGTATGTCAAAATTATACTTGAGTACAGTAAATCTACCTACTTTACACCAGACGAATGGAAAATGTTTGTCAAAAGTGGCATTGAAACAAACCTCACACTTAGTTCAGTAACAAAGGGACACTTGAGGCATGTGTAGTCGGACCTTCAGGTGCTTGTGATGTGAACAAAATCATTTGTTGCCATTAAAATATTGAGGATTGTTGCAAACTTTTAATAAATTACTTTAGAAGCAGCTTTATTTCCTTTCAATATTTATTCAAAAGGCATTTCAATGTATTAGAACACTAATGCAAGGTACGAGAGCAACTGGGAGAAGGTTCATGGCATGCTGTAAACAAACTTGTAATAGGTTGTTACTTGGTCATTTTGACAAATTCAAACCCTAAATCTCTTAAACTAAAAATGTGGTATCCACAACTGTCAAAAAAATAATCCAGGTGTGTTTTCTGGAACTATGGATTCAGATGAAACTGGAGTCGTGTCACCCATTAAACATGAGGCAGCTGTTAATAAAGAAATCTGGGACAATCTCAGTCAGTGGTGAAGATCCTTGCAGCGATATCATCTAATAACCAGTCCACTCCAGCTAACAAATTCTTTCCTGTTACTGCACTGCAACCAATGATGCACCAGTGATGGCTTTTGATGTCATCCAGGGCCAGAGCCTGCAGGGAAACACAGCAAGAACAGGCATCAGACAGGAAGAATTTGATGCAGCAACAATGAAAATACATGTATCAGTTATCAGAGTATATGCAGGAATCCTGAAGTCAATTGTAATACATTTTAAGACCTCATCGCCACTTTGAGTTTTAACCGTTTACATTGGCGACACACTTTACCTCACATTTACTATATACAGTATTGATTATCCTTCCTCCTTATCTTCCAACCATTTGGACGCAAACTTGCGTTTCCCCATAACGATGTTTAACAACTGTAAACGGACCGTTGCGCGCTATCAAGCAGTGAGCGTGCAATGTCCTGTTCAGATGACATCAAATCCAACGGAAAGCCATAAATAAAACTACACAGAATCACACTACACACCTACGCAATGATTACATTCAGGCACACTGTAGAATACAACCTCTTTGGACAATTTATATACTTATTGAAAACAAGCTACAAAATGTAATACCTTGGAAAATGCCATTTAATACTTTTAATAGCCTTAATTTTCGCTATTTTCTACTTTTTAAGACCTCGCGGACACCCTGGTTATTACTTGAAGTGAAAACGTTCATCTGGAATAAGTCTCACCTCTTGTATCGCCTCTTTCGACAGGGCTCCTGGTAAATCCTGTTTGTTGGCAAACACTAGCAGCGTTGCACCAGCTAACCTCTGCATGGATAGGACACACAATTAAACAGATTAATATAATATTGATACAGAAGTTAAACAACAACGTTGTTTTCAGCTACAAACTGTGCAAGAATAAAAAGACAGCTATTTACAGTCATATCTCAGTTTGTGGCTGTGCTTGCCAAAATGCTGACTCATTTCCAGGTTTTAGGACTCTTGCAGTTTCTTTTGAAACTAGTATGTGTGTTGGTTTGCACCTCCTCCAGCAGCAGTGAACTGAGCTCCTTTCTGCAGTCCTCCAGTCTGAGTCTGTCTGCGCTGTCCACCACCCACACCAGCCCGTCTGTGCTCTCAAAGTAGTTCCTCCAGTAGGAGCGCAGCGATTTTTGTCCACCTACATCCCAAATATTCAGTTTAAACCTAGAAAACACAGAGAGAGGAAATTGGGATGTAGACTGGAGAAATACAGCCTGGTAATGTATCCTGTTCCTGTCTTGGAAACATATGTGAATGCTTTAATGTAAAAAGGTAAATAAAATGCCTGGTACTTTGGGCTATTATCAGAATACATACAAACATGTTATCTTTCTTAAAAGTCAAAATCAAGAATGTTTCACTGTGCATATTATTAAATCTTAACTTTCATATATAACCAAAAGTATGTAATAGTGATAGTTTATGAGATACAAACAGTTATCATCGCATATCCTCCCAGTGTTTCAATAGCCACATCACCATGCTCTTTGGTATGCCATAAATAGATTCAGTAAGTCCCAATTCATAGCATGGCAACACTTTTCTAAGGTCAGCTGCAGTATGTGCTTTAAGTCATGCAACTACTGTCTTTTCTTACAATTTAATAGTGAACATACAGAAAAAGTGGTCCCATGTTCAGTTATTCCAGCATTTAATTAAATATGTACACATGTGAAAAACTGCCTATAGAGAGAAACCGTGCTGTATGTCAGGTGGAAAGTGCGTCATATGCTATAGCTTATTTATGATAAGGCCCACTGTGTGTGCGCATGGATAATTTCGCGTGTTACCCTTTGTGTTCCAGTGTTTTGATGTTGAAGCCCAGCGTCGGGGAGATGGTGCTCACGTCTTCTCCATTAAACTTCTTCAGGATTGTCGTCTTCCCCGCGTTATCCAGACCTCTGCACGCACCAGGTTAAAGAAACAACCCTCTCACATACACCTCACTGTTAAATATTAATTTTAATGAATGAATGAATAGGACTTTAACTATCATTCACCCACATTTAGTTAACTTAACAGTGTTAGCAAGGTACCATGATACAGCACAAAATGCGCTATACAAACCTCACAAACGTTATCCTGTTGTATCTAATCACACACTGATATAATTTTCTGTCCACGATTTTAAGTTGTTGACACCAATAAAGTTAAAATATTCACGTTGCTATACATACATGTATGCTACCTTTTTCCTAGCTAAGCTAGTTACAGAAAGGATACAGCATCAGCAGCCTCATCTCCCGCTCCTTCTGCTTCATCTTCTTTAGAATCGTTAGTAAACCCATCGCGAAAGTATCCGCTCAACTGCAGATGTTATAGAAAACGATTTTACTGATTTATAGCTTTGTATTCAATATATTTAGCATCCATACGCAGCATTGTCAACCAGGAAGAGGTTGTATTTATGATCCTGTGCCACGCGGAGACTGATTGGTAGAACGCGTACATTGTTTGGTTGTTGCAGACGTTCCAAGCTTGTTGATTGGTCAGTGACCATTTTAAGGTGCGGCCTTGTAGTAGTTGCCGTTTGGCGCCACCGTGTGTCCCGCGTGGAATGACATGCAAAACAATATAAAACCTGTCAACGCTTGTTTCAAAAATACATATTTTAAAGCTAACTTTTGAATTAAAAAAAAAATAATAGAAGACGTTATCAATTAGCGATATAATTGGAAAACTCTAATTACACTTCTATAGCCTAAATATTTTGTTTGTAGTATCCTTGTATATGTTTCACATTGTATTTCCTTCTTTAAGTCCTCAATATGTTCCTTACGGTAATAGTTTAGCAGTTAGAAGTTCGAACTGGATTGTGTTATTTACTTGAGTAAAGGCAGAGAGACTAAACAACTTTTAGATGGCAGGGCATTGATCCCATGAGACTTTCTGTACATTTAAAAAACCCAATGCAAAAGTTTTTAACATTTTTTCCTAAAATGTTATTTTGTCAACATTTTATAATTTTCTTTTTAAAAATGTGTATTATTTATAATAACAGGCAAGTTACTTTTACAGGTTTGCAATAGCTATATCTTTTAAGAATTCAGCTTAATGGATATATGATATTTACATGATCTTTATGACATTTCCAATTTAAGCACTAAGTTCTTATTCTCCAAATGAACATAACTGTCACATAAAAGTATTAAGGATGTCAATATCAATTTTGTAAACCAATAAGTATAAAATGTAAAACCTTTTTATGTGGGCTATGTTTTCCTTTTCCTTTCTTAATAAGATATTAAGCCAAAGAGTTACATCCTATATTACATCACATCCTGCAGAAAAGCGGTAAAACAACCGGTTGGATATATTCCGGGGGCTTGGCATTGAATTTCCTGGCAAAAACGATTGAGAAATCCCCCGCACGTGAAGGAGGAGCATCCTTCATCTTTATATGGCCATCCAGCCTAGACCTGTTCCGGTGTACCCAACACATTTTCCCATTTATAATGATGCGTTCGTGTGCCATAGAAAATATTAGGCAAGACAACGCAGCTGTGGGATGCTTATGGAAAATGTACTTATATGGCACTCAAAAGTTAGCCTACATTAGCTAGTTGCAGAAAACACACAATCAAATAGATTAGGGGGGGATTTGTCAAAATATGGATTATTGAAACATCCATGACTTACAATATGTTCATATTTTCAGTTCACTCTGCTGTTTTTTCTTCTTATTGCCACCTAAACATCCGGTTTCTGTCACTGAGTCTATACAAAAAGCGTGATACAGACTTGAACCGTGAAACTAACATGCGACACGTGAATGCAGCACCCTCCCTGCAGCACCTTCTTGCAATGGGTCAGTTTAAAATAAAGCGAAACTGAAACAGAATCAGTATCACCATGTTGCATCATCAGCCGTCTGGTGCCAAACCTCATGCGCTTTAAAGCACCGGTGCGCTTCACTCCGAGACACACATTCAAAGAAGCAACAAGTCATCAAGCATCATTTTATTTAGCAAATCAAGCAGGTTTATAGGTTTAGCATCCTCCTTCATTCAGAGTCCTTAAAACTACTCCAAGCTGCTGCTGCGCGCTAGTTTTCTCAACAGCTTCAGAGTTTGAATGGCTCGGAGGATCATGGCTCGGTGAATCCTGCAATCCGAGGAAAAGACATGTCCCCGTTATTCATGGGGACCGGGTACGATCTGTCCAGCCCCGGCTCGGTGTCAGCTGGGGAGAGCAACACCCCTGGATCTGTGAGTACTTCTCAATCAATCAAGCATCAGATCATCTAATACCAACTATTATTGAGTTACTTGTGCGAGGAGTTTCATATATCCAAATATAGATAGGTTCTTTTTAATTTGAATAAAAGGCATGTGAATGAATTACATAGCCAATAATAAGATTAAATGTTGATTACATAAATCTTATTTTACTTCGATTAAATTAAATTAAATTAAAGCACATTCTAACTTACTTTGGAGTGCCATTGAGCAGCTCAATACAGTGTAAGTCCCTGTGACTATTAGTCCTATTAGTCACATTTCCCATCAAGAATGGGTCATTAACCGGGGGGTTTCCTGGTCGAGACGGACACCATATGCTGTGGAAGTCCCAGGGGGAGGGGGGGGATCACTGCACTGCACTGCACATCATTCCCCCCCCCCTGCCAAAAATACGTTAAATAGAATCAGCCAGTCACCTGAAAATAATCCGGAAACATTTATTAACACAAGCGTTTCTTTTAAAAATGTGGTGCTTTAGAAGCCTGGCCGGCAGCTGTGCAAACACAGAAGAATATAGAGAAAAAGTGCACATAATAACAAAGCAAATGTATTTAACAAGAGGTTTAAGTTGTTTAGAGTGATGCGTTTCCAATTTGACATTAGCTCATTGTCATTTTGAGTTTAATGCACTTGACAACCTCCAATTAAGATAAGATAGGACTTTGTCTATCCGAAGGAAACTATAGTGCCAGAGTTACAAAGATTCAATAAACACAGCAGCATAATAATAAAACTGTACACTAACAATGCAGTAAAAAGAGCAATTAAATGTCTACACGAATCATACACGTATGACGAGCAGTATTGAGTAGTGCAAGAAAACGTAGTCCTTTTTAGATGTATAACTAGTGCATACCGTTCCGTTTTGGGTCCATTTGATGAAGAAAACTGAAGACGAGCACAGTGCTGGGAGAATGTAGCTTTGAGAGCTTCATTTGTTTTACAGACAAACTTAGGTCTACACTTCATTGGTTGCCCTTTAAAGGACCTTGTCTTTTTATCTCTGCATTGCTCATGAATTAACCCAAAAACGTCCTTTTTTAATTAAGAAACCATGTGAAATTTCATGTGATGGGTTTGACTTGTGACTTTATGACCTTTTGAACTATTCAATCTTTCAGAAAGCTAAAAATGCTTGTTTGAGGAAATTCCTTCAAGACGGAAGGGGATTGTGCAAGAATAGAATGTACTTTAAATACACACAGTGTCAGCGTATACTAGAAAGAGTATCCTAGATGTGTGTGATTTACTGTGTGCTGCATTTATTTTCAAAGGAGAGAGAAGGAGTGACAGGAAAAAGAGGGAGAAAAACAGAAAAAAACAGAGACTCTGCGAGGAAGAGCCGGAGAAAACAAACGGAAAGAGCGGACGAACTTCACGAGGTTCGAAACAATCATTCCTAACGTTCCTTCCCTCCTTCCTTAGACTTCTGTCACACACCCACACACACACCGGCTGTGTGACTTGCGGTGTGTGTGTGTCTTGTGTAATCCCAGAGCATGCTGGAGCCATTTCTTGTAAATACTCTGCTTTAGAAGAAAGGCTTTCACTCCCTCTGGTGCTCCCTCCCTATTGGCCCTGCCTTTCCTCTCTGCCGGAGACACACACACACACACACACGCACGCACGCACGCACGCACGCACGCACGCACGCACGCACGCACGCACGCGCACACACACACACACACACACACACACACACACACACACACACACACACTACTTTCGTTTGGGTAAAATATATATTTGATTGATCTCCCTTCATCGTCTTTATATTCAGACATTAAGAGTTGTAGCAATAGGGGTGCTGACCTGACACTTTGTAAAGTACACTGTTGAAACTCTTTCTAGATGTGGGTTTAAAATAAGTCATTATCAACAGACTACAAAATGGTTTGTATCCCTCCTGAAACATCATATATGATGCATGGTTTTAAAGGTTTTGTCATGGAGCTAGGGTTAGGGGTTCATATAAGATCTAAGATTCTACATAACCCATAAAGTGGTGGTTATATGACTCCCATTTTGACGATAATGAATCCTCACATGCATAAAGGAAGCAAAACATGCAGAGCGCCGTACTACCCGCACTGGTTGGGGGAGTTTCTCTTCTGGCATCTACTCCTCAGTGGCATGCGACTCTGTCAACTCAACTGTTTTATCTGGTTGGTCAGGTGCGTGTGTGTGGTGTGTGTGTGTGTGTGTGTGTGTGTGTGTGTTGTGTGTGTGTGTGTGTGTTGTGTGTGGTGTGTGTTGTGTGTTGTTGTGTGTGGGTGTGTGTGTGTGTGGGTGTGGGTGTGTGATGTGTGTGTGGTGTGTGTGTGTGTGTGTGTGTGTGTGTGTGTGTGTGGTGTGTGTGTGTGTGTGTGTGTGTGTGTGTGTGTGTGTGTGTGTGTGTGTTGTGTGTGTGGTGTGTGTGTGTGTGTGTGTGTGTGTGTGTGTGTGTGTGTGTGTGTGTGTGTGTGTGTGAGAGAGAGAGAGAGATATGGCAGGAGGAGTCCATACTTTCACTTTCTTTCTGCATGTCTTCAAGGTTAATTTTGAAGAAGCATCATTGCCACAAATCAGTATTATTCTCCTCAACTAAAGAGGTTTAAAGTGTCAGCGCATGTGATTCACTACTACTGCTGTGACCATGAGTATACTGTAGGTATTATCCTTGAGGGAAACACTATTCTTCAGAGTGCAATTCAAGTCTGCACTTGCACTTATTGATACTCATTGGACATGAATGCTGGCTGTTATGGAAGAAAAGTGTTTTCCGGCTGCACTGAAACCCAATGAGGCCATAAAACAAAAGTGGGAATTTATTTGATTGATATTTCAGGAAAAAACTATTCTACAAAGTATAAATAAAAGCAGGTTTATTTTTCAGGGATGTTAGCTTGAATTTGACTCGGGGAGAAGGGGACTTTGTTTTGTTTTGTCCCTCCATTACCTACTATCTCCTTTTATACTAAAATTGCAGTTCTTTCAAAGAAAGACATTTTTCAGTTCTCTTTCTAAGTTCCACAATTTGCTCAGAGGTTGTTTTTTTAATGCAGCAGTCAGGAGAAGTCTTAAAGAAGAGGACCTAAACGTACCTTGGTGAATTCACAAGCTACCTTAAGAGTATGGATAAAAAAGCTCCACCTTTACCACCTGCCACATTCACTCCTAATTTTGATCATATGTTTTGATGCTAACACTTTTATACTTT